CATGATTTTGATGTGACTAATATAAAGCTTTTTTGTAAGGAAAAATCAAAACATGCTACATTTACTTCCTAAAAATTGTGACAATATGAGCTGGTTGAAGGTTATCATACGAGCACCAATTGAAACCCTTTAAGAGCAGATGTGATCCTGTATTGTTGTGAATTACAGCTAACTTGTAGCCAAATTTAGTTGAGATCCGTTAAAATCAATTCGATTGAAAAATTTTATAACACTTGCCTTGGTGATAATTATTTGCTTAGAATAATCAAGAAGTTTCTAAACATAATGCAGATATTGACATCATGCAAACGGCTTTAAACTCTGTTAAATATGCACCTAATATAACAGTAATAATGTTACCTTTTCTAGGTTTGGTCATTTCATTTTCACACATTTCTACAAAAGAGGCGATTTTTCGTTCCCTCTTGCTGATTATCCTTTTTTTTTTTTTGGATACTTATATTTAGTTGGTCCCTTCTTGCGATGTGTATAGTTCTAAACACATTCGCTATGCCTTAGTCTGTAATGAAATTTCAAATTTCGCTAATATCAATCTATATATAACTGGTAAATTATTCAGTCAGGGATTTCTTAACTACAAATTACTTGACAAATTTTTCAAATTCTTTCATAGATACATACGTTTAGTTTGAAAGTTCGGTAGTTAAAATGGTAACTGTAGAAATCTTTTTACAAATATGATACATCCTGATTTTAACGGTAGAGTTGTTTATAGAACCTGTAAACTTAGATATGATCCATGTTAACTTATTAATTTGAAATATTCAAGACAGTATCAGTGTGACTATGTTATCAGATCTTTGAATCTCTATCGGTACTAACATTGATTTTTGTTGATGATTTAAAACAACAATACTAAAATATCAAAATAATATCTACAAAGGATTCAAAATGTTATGTCTAAAGTCTCCGTTACATTCCTCGTTTCCATTCTCAATTCTATGTCTTATTGCTCATATTCACTAATAATATGATTTAACAGAAAGTTATCATGTCTTACAACTATAAGAGATTATAGTCAGATGGCTATTGACAGACTGATATATGAGCAATGGTAATAAAGTAAATGTAACCCAATCAGCAGACTGCACCTAACACTATAAACATTAAAGAACTCAAAGGTTGTTAATCTTTTACTATATCCAACTGAGAAACCAATATGCGCGCGAAAACATAAAATTGACCATAGAAACATGAAAAGCGGTTACATATAAAAATAATAAGATGTTATATGAATGCCAATGAGAACTTTCCACCAGAGGCCAATTAACGTAGAGGTAAGTAACGACATGTTATCATATGGCCTTTAACAATGAGCAAAACCTGAACCAGATAGCAAGCTACATGTATAAAAGGCCCCAACAAAACTAACGACCTGATTTATGTACAAAACAAGACGAAACACAACTATGATATACAGCAACAAATGGCAACCACTGAATTACAGGCTTCTGACTATGGACAGACACACACAGAGAGTGTGTCGCGATTAAACATGTTTGCGGGCGCCCAACAACCCCCTTCCCCCTCGAACCGGGAACAGTGATGTAACAGCACAACATAAAAACTCACTATTAAAAAGGCTTGACTCATGAGATCCAAACAAAACACACAGGACTTAAGAAACAAAGTACGGGCCTTTCGGTCATAAAAATTTCAAGTACGATTATCGTACTCAGACTCAGAAATTCAACCAATCAAACTACTATTTTTTGGTGTTTCGAGCACAAATTATATACTCTGAGTTCTGAGTGTATTTCTATGACCGAGAGTTGCTGAAAGATAGTTCAAAGCCAATAACAACTAATGAACAAATCATGTACTTAAATATCAATCAGTACACATCCAATAGAATTAGTATAAAGACGTCATACACAGTCAGAGAAAACTTGATATTGTGCAATGCCAAGAAATATGTTTCGACAGAATGTAGGACCGTTAATATTCACAGTCGTATAGCAATAACTTATCTTTATGCTTTATTTTATTGATTAAAAAATCGATGTAGGTACCAATAAAACAATATTATCGCTATTTTGTGTATTTTTCCTTTGGTCTATTTTGTGATAATTTTCATATCATGCTACTCGCTTGAGATAGCAAATCATCGTCAGAAACTAAGGGCGCAGGTTGCGTTGTCAATGTAAACAACAACTACATCATAGGCATAATATAGCGATAAACAAATTATCAATAGTCTTTCAAACTCGAGGATGTTTCTCGGCCACACCTCATCTCAAGACTATTGCCCTTCGATGAGATTGATGCTGAGAAATATCCCAATATTAATCATAAAAACTGACCTTCGTCATGTCTATGTGAAGCCTTTTAAAAAACTATTAAATTCAAATTTGAACCATGGACAAGAGATTAAAGATCTTTTCTATAAGTAAAAACTATTGAGTGCATAACGAATAAAGTGTCTCGGTAATAAAAACATTCCTTCGCCTTCGTTGGTTTAAAATGTGTAGTACAGTAAGATATTTTATAACTATCGCAATTTTGCGTATTCTTCCTTTGGTCTTTTTTTACTTGAGATAGAAAATTATCGTCAGAAACCAAGGGCGCACGTGACGTTGTCAATGTAAACATCAACGACGTCATAGGCAAAATAGCTATAAACATATTACCAATGGTCTTTCAAACTCTAGGATGTTTCTCGGCCACATCTCATCTCAGGGCTGTCGCCTTCCGATAAAATTGTAGATGAGAAACACCGTCTCGTTTGAAAAACCATCGATAATCTTTAATTACGGAAAAAAACTGCTATGCTTATCATGCTAGTACCGGAGCACTGTCTTCTTATCGGAAAATTATGCGGTTATCTGTGCAATCAAATATTGTCCAATTCTGAAAACATTTTTGATAATGTTTATTTATCTCATATCAACCGTCAGTGGGTATAATGTATGTCCTCGTTACAATAAAAATGATATCACATAGAAGTAGTTATAGACTTGACTTACATGTTCCACACATAACGGCGAGAAAAAAAAGCAATACAAATGATGTGACTGGATTTCATTTTTCCTTTTTAACAAACTCAAAGAGATATAATGTGCATACCATGCACGTCTTGCTCCCCCTCTGTCGCAAAGGAATATATACAACATTAACTAGGCATCAATTATTTATTAAAACATATTATGTAAGACATATGTCACACGTTTCAAGAAGCTATTTGATTTTTGAAGAATAAGCATATTAAGTTAACGGTAGAGAGGTAACACCTATAATGGTATCAAAATAATCGTTTTGCACCTGAACGGTTTCTGTACTTTTAGACGCTCTTTGTCTTAGTTCTTGACTACTTGACTATTTACGAATTTGGATTTGTACCCTTTATCGGGTGAAAAATAGGGATGTTAGGTATAACTTTTCATTATGCATCACTCTGATTCCTTTGGCGGGTTTGATTGAACTAGGCTTTTATGTGTCTTTAGTTTATTATTCGCTTACATATATGGATAATTGGCACTAATTGAGCCTCTTTTTCTAAACTGTTATCAATAACATCTATTTTCGGTCTCTCTTCGACTTACGTAAATGAGTTTTGATTCTTCCTTTTTGGTATCTTTCGTCTTTTTCCTGTCTTAACTTCATAAAGACACAATAAACACCATTTAAACAAATAGTAGATGACGTACTATGCATGTGACCTAAATGCACAAGTAGGAGAAAAATAAGCGGCGTTATTGTCAAAAGAATAAATGAATGATACAAGGATCATTTCATGACACACTACACTACAAAAACAAATTGAGCAACACAACTATCCTTCTAGATATAGTATCCACAAGCAGATAAGTTTATAAATTGTTGCTATACCATGGCATATTATCTGAAGAAACTTATTGATAAAGGTCATAATTATATTGGTCAATTATTTTCTTTGATAATTTCAAGGTAATTTAAAGTATAAATACCCACTTGCTTGGTTTTCAAATATTCAGCTTTAAGCGTTCCTGATGAAGGTAATTCAGAAGAGCGCTTTGGACGCATGTAATTTAAAACGGGTTGTTTTTATTTTTTGTAAACGACTTTTAGTTTGAAACGGTCATTTGATCTGCACAACTCATAAGGGACTGAACAATAAATTTTAAAAGCTATTTTTAGTTTTTCAATCTTTTTTCAGAATTCATCTACTGCTGTTAATTCATCACTTTTCAGAAAATTCGATTGTAGTCAAATAAGATCAGTTCAGTCTATGTTCAAAATGTTTAGTAGTTATATTTTACCTGTAAAGATCAACTATATAGTTACTGAATTATATGAAAAAGTACTGAACAGTACTGAATTAACCGCAGTATTTGAAAATTTAGTGAAAGACTGAACATGACTTAATAATTCATTGTTTGGACTTTCTATACGATAAGGGTTTTATTTATTGTATAATACCGTATGGCGACTTGTAGTTATTTACGGCCTATTCTTTCTTATTGGCAATTCTTATTTGATATTAACAATATTATATTTTTTTCTTTTTTGAATTTTTAAGTACATACAGTATATGTTAAATCTAGCTTATTTCTAGCCATGTTAGAAGACGGATGTTTAAAGAAACATTGCAAAGCGGTTTTCAATTCTAATAAATGCACCGTAAATACAATCGAATATAATTGTTAGATTAATGTATATAAATTTCCACGTTATTTTGCGTCATTAAGAAGCAATCTTAGAAACTAATACATGATGTGTCGTAACCGAATAATACAATTCTAAATCAATTCACCGATTTTAACATATGGTTGAAGAAAATCAAATATCTGACAAAATAGTACATAAAGTTACATTTACATCGGTTTAATGTGAGTAAAGAGGGCTTTCAAAATTGTTAAGTGTTCGATTTCGTAAAGCAAATATATTTTTTTTTTCAAATAACGGTATTTCGTCTATTATTGTCTTGTCATTTTGCTGGGTGAAACACAAATGTTTTCTTCATGACTATTTACTAGATCGTAAACGCTGGATATTTTTTTTTAAACAAAGCTTTACAACAATCAAACATACAACTTCATGTTTATGTGGTAACTTAGCAAATGATTTCGTTAAATATTTGCAGATGACTCAATGAACTACCATGATGAACACGTGTATGAATGGTAAGGTATATACTTTTCCTATTCAGTTATATCATTTAAAGAATAGTTAGAAAATACATTGCTTTATGACAGAACATGAGGACGAGATTGTGACACAGATACGTTTTCTGAACTGATCTGATTAGACTTGGAATACCTTTGTTATATACAGAATTATTTGTGGTAACCTTATGATTAAATCTAACTTAATTAAAAAATTAAGTCTGATGCTCAATACACGGCTGGATATTTTGTAATGCGTGGGTCTCTCAACTGTAAACGGAAATTACAAGTTAAAGAAGGAGACGGAATCCCTACCATTATCTCACGGTAGTGTAATATGTACTAAACTTTATAAAAATAAAAAATATAGATTATATTATTTACCTGTTAACATTAACATCATACTGAATTGTCAAAACAGCTCCTGAACAGTACTAAATTGACTCCAAGCGAATTGTCTGAACAGTATTGAATTGACCGCAATGGCCAAGTCTGTAAATTAGCTGAATGACTGAACATGACTGAATATTGTTAGGTTAAAATTCTGCAGATCATGTTAAGATCAAAATGACCCTTTAAGACTAAAATTCATTCACTAACGTAGCCTTTCTACCTAACTTTGTAAATATCAAAATAAACCAATGAAATTTGTTTTTTTAAACAGTCATCTACAATTAGAGCAAAATATAACAAAACATTTGACTGTATATTCATGCACGCCTGAGAAAAAAGTAATATATTTTTTTGGTTTATAAACAACTAATGAATGCAAGGGGAACAACCAAAATTTTTCTTTGACATTCTTACATACAAAGAGGAATAACCCAATGTTCGCTCACTACTTTTATTTTGTATAGTCTGTTTCATCAATTATCTAGCAAAGAACGAAATCATTTTCTCTGTAATGTTTTTATACGACCGAAAAGTTCTATCATGTCAATTTTTTTTGGTGGATTCATATTTTTTGAAATTTCAAATTAAAAAAAAAAGAAAAATTTGGAGGGTGGGGGATTTTTTTTTTAAGGGGGGGTGGGGTCATACTATTTTCAACAAATTTATCAAAATTTGAAATTTTTTTCATTTTTTTTTGGGGGGGGGGGGGGGGGGGGTGGGCGGGGGATTTTTTTTCTCATAATATATTGTGGTTTTTTTCCGTTGGCTATTCGTTATATCATTGATGACTTTCAAAGGTTATGGCGATGTACATTTTGTCCATGGGACAAGGCTCGTTTATTATTATTGAAATTGAATAACTCGAGTTGATATCAAGCGATATCCCATTCTCACACGTTATGAAGCCTATAAATATATAACAGGTTAACTAAGTATTGTGCAACGGCACAGTATTGCACAATAGCACTTATATATGTAAATCAAGGCGAAATAAAGCATAGAACACTACAGATTGAGTTGAACTGATGCATCAATCATTGTTTAACACCCAGTGGCTTATTAAATGCTTGTTCAAGTTTGTGAACTGATTTATACGGAGACGATGGATGCCAAATGTAAAAGCGCTATCTAAATATCTAAGTAAATGAAAACCAAAAACAGTGAAAACAATATATAATTTAGTCACTAAGTACTTTTATCATGTAGTCCAAAGTAAAGGAATGGAGCATTCCATGACTTCAATAATTACCCGTTGTAAGAAGGCACATGACAGATGCACTATCCATTAATGGAAGTTTTGGAAATTCACAGCTTTCCTTTATTGGACTGGATTTCAGACAATTTAATATAATGATTACAAACCAGTTATATAAAATGTATAGGCCTAAGTCTATCAAATAAGGTTATAAATGATTTGCGACGATGCAAATACTAAACTTTAGAATTTAAAAAAATATCTTTAACCAATGAATTCAAAATACCAATATCTATTCAATTTCACAAATATGAATTGAATAAGCATCATGTAAGTCATTAAATAAAGAAATATGAAATTTATAGTTTTAAACAAGGGAAATAACAATGACATAATAATCCTGTTTGCCAAATACAATTTTGGTTTCTTTAAGGGGAGGAGGTTAAGGCAATATTATTTCAAGCCATTTTTTTTTTAATTTTTAGTAAATGCCTATTGTTGTGTAATGCTTGGATTAATTTATTAAATACTTTTTATCATGAAGCCAGATATGCACATTCTGAAACTGATTATACTACTAAGGGAGACAACTACATATGCACTTTCATATTCTGTCAACGTGCATCACTATGCATTATATATAAATTATGCGACAAAGAGGAATGATTTTTTTCAATACAATGACTATACCTATTATAACAAAAAAATGCTAATAACAGAATTAATGGTGGAAATAAGCAAAGGTTTACGGTCCGTTTAGGATAACTGTATGTGACTCGTGAAAATAGGTTGTGATTGCATTGCGCATTTCAGCTTCCTGTAAAATATAGAGTTATCGTCCTTTAAAACCTAACGGCAGGTAGAAAGGCTAAAAGTTCTATTTATACAATTGATATTGCATCATCTTTGGTACTTTGCCAAATGGGGTCATTTGATAAATCAAATTGAAGGTCTTAATGAGCTCTACTCAAAAATGAAAAGTCTAAACCCCTTTTTCATCCCAGTGGGAAGGGTGGGGTCATTTAGTGCAAAAAATTCAAACTTCTCGGATGGTTAGGTTATCGCATATCAAATTAAAGTCTATAAAACATACATTTCAAATATCAAATTGACGTCCCCAAAAAATGGGTTGGGTGGGGTCATTGAGTGCAGAAAATAAATTGTCTTCTAAGGTAAGGTTGTTGTATATCAAATGAAAGGTCAGAATGTGTACATTTCAAATATCAAATTCCTGTCCTCCAAAAATGAGGTGGATGGAGTTATTAAGTGCAAAAATCAAACTTTCTAGAACATGGCGTTGTCGCATATCATATGAAAGATCATCAAGTCTACATTACATATTTCACACTTCCGATATCAAAAATTTAGGCGGATGGGGTCATTGAGTGTAAAAAGTGAAAATTTTCAGAAGGTATGCTTGTCGTATATCAAATGAAAGGTCTTAAAGAGTACATCACAAAAACATCACTTTTACAGGAAAGACCTTTCAATTGTTTTACAAACAATTGAGATACTAGTTTTTTTTTTTTTCTTCCAGCATTTTTTTGACATGGCCTCCCCCTGTTTCTATTGGAGTTATCAAGACCAAATATGGACCATCGATAGACCTCATCATGAAGTATTACCATATGAGGCTGTGTAGGATTTCATCATCCCCTTTAGAAGTTATCTCCCTTTTATTGGTTTGTTTCGACATGGCCCCCTCGTTGTTTTTAAAGATATCATGACCTTATTTAAACAATAGGTAGATCTCATTATTATGTATTACCACATGAGGCTGCGTAGGATTTCATCATCCCCTTTGAGAGTTATATCCGCTTGAAGCAATTTCTTGTATTTGCATTTTTCTTAAAAAGTATTATAGATAGAATCAAATTAAAAATTGCAGCATATACAAGAACAGATGGCAATGTTAATAAACATAAACAATAAGTTTGTTATCATCCCTTATAAGGAGTTATTTCCCTTTAAAAATTATACACATTTTTTGAAAAATTATATTTCGAGAACCGGAAGTCGTAGAGACTTGGGACCTCTATCAATAATCTTAATTCATGTGACCTTTAAGTTGCACCCAAGGTCAAAGGTCACTGAGTGCAAAAAAAATTTACGCTGCAATTTCAAGCTAACATATTAAGAAAACGATAAGAGTTTGCTGCATACATACTGTGTATAAAATGTTCCTCTAGACGAGCTTTACATTTAATACATTAAACTCAAAACTGTCCGACCGTCTGTTCAAAAGTTTCGACGAGATGATTCTTAAAAGTACAATATTGTGTGTATATCTTTTTAAAGGTAACAGATATCAACCAACTATAAATTGCAAAAGTGATCCGTATTTTAAGACCTTCAATTTGAGGTCAATGTCAGGTCATGATGAATTTTTACCTTGACCTTCAAAGTGTATAATGACCTTGACCTTGTGATATTTGAAAGGTCAAGTGGTCCTGAGTTGAATGGTGGTAGTCCCATGTCTCTACGACTTCCGGTTCTCAAGTTTGGTATTACATCATATATTTGATGATTCATTGTGACCTTGTTGAACTTTGGAATTGTCCAATTTTTTTTTGTACAATGTTGTCTTTCAACTGCAGATTATTTATCATTTAACAGATTTGAGATATCTATTGTTGTTATAGAGATAATGCAGTTTGAAATTTTGCGAGCGGAGCATGTATTTCTGAATCAACAACAGTTTCCAACTGAAATTTTCAGAACTTGAAGAGTTTAACATGGTTATATGTTTGACTAATTACCAAAAACTTTCAATGAAAAACGCAAAAAAAAAATCAATTTGAAATTTTCATCTTTTACATTGACTTTGTAAGTTTCGTAAGTTCTATTTATATAATTGATATTGCATCATTTTTGGCACTTTGCCAAATGCGGTCATTATGAATACCAAATTGAACGTCTAAATGTGCTCTACTCAAAAATTAAAATTTTAAACCCCTTTTTCATCCCAGTGGGAAGGGTGGGGGTCATTTTGTGCTAAAAATTCAAACTTCCCAGATGGTTAGGTTGTCGCATATCAAATGAAAGTCTATAAAGCGTACATTTCAAAAATCAAATTGATGTCTCCCAATAATGGGTTGGGTGGGGTCATTGAGTGCAAAAAAAAATGTCTCATAAGGTAAGGTTGTTTTATATTAAATGAAAGGTCAAAATGTGTACATTTCAAAAACAAAATTCTTCTCCTCCAAAAATGAGCTAGATGGGGTTATTAAGTGCAAAAATCAAACTTTCTAGAAGATGGTGTTGTCGCATAGCAAATGAAAGGTCATCAAGTCTACATTACAAATACTTACGATCTAGAAAATTAAGTGGATAGGGTCATTAAGTGCAAAAAGTGAAAAGTTTCAGAAGCTATGCTTGTCGCATTTTAAATGAAAGGTCGTAAAGAGTGCATTACAAATATCAGACTTTA